CCGCGGCAAGTGAAAGAATAGGTGCTTGCCTTGCCTTCAAGAAATGCGCCATGCATTCCTCGCTTTTGCAGAATGGGAGACATATTTGAATGCATACCTGGCCAGTAAGAATCTTGATACATAACCCACCGCGCTCCTTTTTCCTAGTTTTTTTTTGCCCAGAGTAGTATCTTTAATACTGTTCTAAAGATTCTATTTGTAGGACTACCCTCCGATGAAAGGCTACGTACGAGGAACCGCTTTACTGTCAGCATACCTTATTCGAGGGCTTGATAGCGATGAAGGCTGCGAAATCACTTACATCAGTCATACAGATCCTAAAGGTAATTTTTTTTCAAATATCCACAGCTTTCAGCTTAGGTTCCAAACGTGTTGTAAGTACGCAGGTACTATGCTACTCCTCACGTAGGCTTAGAGCCACTAGTTCAGGAAAACGGTGTGTGTACAGTACCCCTAAATCAAATGTGTCGTCCCCGTCCCCGTGAATGCATGCAATCGGGCATATCGCAAGCAAGAGCTCCGGGGTGAGGACAGGAAGCCAAAAGTGCGCTAATTCGCTAATTCCGTTTTCCACCGGTCAGAGGCAGGCGGAGAATGAGTAGTGGTGTGCACTCGCTGCTCCCACTTACTCTTGTTTTACGTGCAGTTTGGGCTATTGCAAACTGCCTGCTTTCCCTAAAGGCATGGTTCGCAGTCAGGTACAGAAGTTGAAAATATGGCGTCGGAGGGTAGTGTGGTCCGCGACGAACAACCTTGTACCGGTTTCGCGGCAAAAAATTGTAAGGGAGGGGCGCTATAGCGCAATATAGGTTCAGTGACGCCTCCTTTTTCCAGTGACTCCGCCTCCAGACTCCGCCTTCAAGGCCCGCCTTTCAGTGAAAAACGAAGCTGCAGGACGAAAAAGCATGAAAATCGTCACTTGTACGGTCGTGAGTTCTTATCGGGAATCAGCTGTGCAGATGAGTATGGATTCAGTTGGGCACGTGCAAACCGGTACCGGAATAAGGTTCTATATAGGGCAGCTGAATGTTTTTCTCCTACTTTTTTCCCACAACTGAGTTATACTCAGAACCTTGTCGTCTATATGCAGGCCCTAATCCACTACGTGTGATGGTGAATGGTCGCGTGCTTTGCCTTTAACTCATAATTAGGTCGCTAAACTGAATATTTCAGGCAAACTCCCTACATGGCTGGTCAATCGTATAACACGAGTAGTGGCCCCGAAAATCATCAAACGGCTACACAAGGCTTGTTTAGCGTATCCTGATTGGAAATCAGAAAATCGACCAAATTTCAAACCATGGATCTTTCCTGAGCAACAGGTTTTTGTTCTGTTCGCTTTACATTCCTTAAAGCCACTGTCCACACTGATCGTGTGGGCGGAGTCAGACCTTCGTCATTGGTGCGCCGCGTGCGGTTCTTCCAAGAGCCGCCTCATACTTCAGGACTCAAGTCCGCAATCACATTGGGGATTGCACCACTGCGGCTCGCCGCGCTCCACCGCTAATCATTGGACCGCTGCTACAGTTGAAAGGATAACTATCCTGTGGTCGAATTACCAGTCGCGGCTGTCCGACGATAAGTGCTAAAGCGCGGTGGGTCGCGGTTCAGCGATTCCCAGATCACGGGTCACGAAATATGACTCAAACACTGTAGAGGAATTCTGCGCCAGTTAGTGTGGCCCCTTTGTCAGGCCTGACTCCGCCCACAAGATTATCGTGGAATATGCTAATGATGCTTTTGTGTAAGGTGTCCAACGGTTTAAATTCTGTTTCAGCTGGATTTTCCTCGAGTAGATTTGGCAAAATGCCAACCTCAAGAATATGAGCAAGAAATCATCGATGAATCAAATGTTACTCCCGTACCGAATGACGTTGAGGTGGAAGAAGACTAGCCTTTCATGGAATTCTATCGATACATATCATCCATAACTACATTTACATATCATATAAAATTTAGATTTAGATATCGATTCCATTGATTTGGATGTCCATTTCCATTGTACAGTATTTCCAGACAGTCGTCAAATCTAATGACTTTCGCATACTTAAAAGCATATCATCGGCATTACGTACAAATTATCGTGCCCGGTTTCATTCCCACTTCCCCCCTTCCCTACCGTGTTGAACCGATGACCAATCAGTTTTGTGGGTCCTGGTTGTGATATATAATATGTTAATGACTCTATCCCTCAGTGATGATGTTTGATAAAAATTTAAATTATTGGTGACAGTGATTTCATGAAGTAATAAAAGAATCAGGGTTTCGGTGTCGATCGGAATACTAGTTTCTACAGACTCGAATATTTGAAGTGGTATTGGACACGTTTACAGCAAGCGGTACAGCATACAGCAAGGAGTTCGATTACGATAATATTTCCTTCGCGATCAGGAGATTCGTGTTGCGGCGGAGGCGTGACAGGCGGCACTGGCATTAATGCACTGTTCACGCCGTGCAATTTTCGCGTATTCAACACATTTGCTAAGAATTTCAAATAAGTACTGATGGGGAGTCAGAGCACGTCGTAAGACGGGGTTCCCCCGCGGAGGGGCGCCGTTTTTGGTCACTAGAGGGAGGGGCGTATTGCTTTGAAAAAGAAATATTTTCGGGAGGTGACGTCGTTTCGAGTGCATTATATGCCCCC